GAGAAAAAATTAAAACGTTTTACGGGAACATTCAGAGGAGGAGTTCGGGGGGGGGGCAACGTTAAACGTTTGCACGAAAAAAAAAATTCAATGTCAATAATAAAAATAAAAAAAACTGACATTTATGTTTTTTACCCGTCCGTCCGTCCTTCTTCCTTAACCGCAATTTTTTCCTTAATCCTAAACGTTCGACTCATATTCCATAATTTAATCATCATTATCATTATCATCATCATTATCATTTTTTTTTTAATTAACGCGCGTCCTTTGATAAAAAAAAAAAAAAAATTTAAATTTAATTAAACGGTTATTTAAATCCAATTTTTTTTTTTTGATCCACGATTAGAGTCTGACATCATAACAAATCACGACAAACAATTTAACAATAATAATTATAAACAAACGAACAATTTTAAACGCTGATAATAATAATAATGATAATAATTGATATATATTAACCGTCGGGGAAAATTAATCCAGGATCGTTGATTTTCAAACGTTTCGTACTCACTCATCGAATTATCGATCGACCTTTTAATTAGAAAAACGTTTTAATATCATCATTATTATTAATCATTATCGTTATTACAAGTTTTGCACTTATCGAATTAGTCTTGTGGCATTTTGAACGTATTTATCCGTATGCAATGATTAAAAAAAAAAAACAGACAAGTTTTTATTATTATTATTATTATTATTAGGAGTCAGTACGATGAAAAAAGGAGGTCACGGACGTTTGTATTTCTCCCCCGTAAAAAAAAAAAAAAAACGTTTTGGAAAGAAAATTCCATAGATACGATTTTGGAAAAGTTGTCTCGTTACGTAAACGTTACAGACGGTGCCAAAAGAAAAAAAAAAAAACCTTCGAGAAAATTTTAATAAACGCGATTGTTATCTCTCTCTCTCTTTCATCTATCAATCTAAACGGGGGAAAGGAAATCGACGGAAGTGACGACGGATTTTTACCGGAAACGAAATGAAAAAAAAAACGTTTGAAAAATCGATCGAAGAACAAAAAACCGACAGGAAAAAAAAAAAATTTTTTTTGTTGCCAAATAGGAAGAATGAAATGCGTTTGTTGTACGAAAAAAAAATGGCAACAACAAACGCATGATGAAGAACAACCAACAACAACAACAAGAAGGTCATAACACTTTTGGCATAATATTCTCAGAATATTAAAAAAAAAAAAATTATTGTTTCCTGTTTGATTTATTCCGATACAAAAACAACAACAAACGAATACAATTATTCAAAAAAATATTTCCCAAACATTAAAAACAACAACCGCAACAACAACAAACCGACAAACGAAACAATGTCTTGACATAGAAAAAAATAAAAGGTCCAAGGACGAGGTCTCATTTATTAAATATAATTAAATTTTTTGTTGCAATTTTTTTTTCTTTTCAATCGACGTGGCAATAACCAAGAGCGCAAAAAAAAAATTTACCTTAGTCCACGAGTCATTCGATATAGTTTATTAAAAAAAAAAAAAACGTTCCAACCCAAAACGATTAATTTTTCAAATCAATAAATAAATTTAAAAAAAAAAAATTACAAACACATAAATAATAATAATAATAATAATAATAATAATAATAATAATAATAATAATAATAATTCTGGATATAAAAAAAACCCATCATTGCCATCTTCTTCTCTCTCTCTCTATCTATTCATCTTTTGCTACGGGTTAATTCGTCATAAGTTAAACATTAGTTAAAAAGTTTTCGTGTATAATAAGAAAGAAAAAAAAACGTGGCTTTAATACGTCACGACGACGACAACATCAACAACAACAACAACAACCGACAATTCGTTATACCGGGTACGTACTCGAAACGTTTTTTCAGGTTCATTCAGTCGAATCCAATGTGCATCGCGTTTCGATCGTATTTAAATAAAAAAACCGGAAGTTTATCGTGAAAAAAAATATTTAAAAAAAAAATGAATTTTTTTTCTTCTATGTATTTTACGGTAGGAATTTATTATTATCATCATCATCATTATTATTATTACTGTTTATTTATTTAAAAATTTTTAATAAGTTTTTATTATTATTTTTATTATTTTGCGACACGATTCAAAATGGCGCAAGATTTCATTTTTTTTTTTAATTAAAAATTTTATTATTATTATTATTAAATAATTAAAGGGTCGAATTTATTTTTTCGATAATAATGATAATTATTTACTTATTTAAATTAATAATAAATAAATAAATAAATAAAATGTCATAGAGTAAATAAATTTTTTTTTTATTTTTTATTTGTGAATTTTTTCTTTCTTCGATTTTTTGTTTTTGTAAAAAAAATTGTGATAAATAAATAAATCGATGATAATAATAATAATTGATTAATTGATTAATTGATTAATAATAATAATAATAATAATAATAATAATAATAATAATAATAATAATAATAATAATAATAATAATAATAATAATAATAATAATAATAATAATAATAATAATAATAATAATAATAATAATAATAATAATAATAATAATAATAATAATAATAATAATAATAATAATAATAATAATAATAATAATAATAATAATAATAATAATAATAATAATAATAATAATAATAATAATAATAATAATAAAGGTATGAAAAATAAAAAGTGGGTAAGACGTTGTTTGGTTTGTTAAAAAGTTTTCTTTTTCATTCATGTTACGAAATCACATTATTATTATTATTATCATTATGCGTATTGTCGTTGTTTTGACGAATTGTACTTGGGTAATGGTTAATAATAATAATAATAATCATAATAATGATAACTTCCTTCGTCAATTAACGAGAGTGTCATCAGGTGAAAGAGAGAGAGAAAATCGTTTCATCCGAAATTCTAAACGCGAACGTGCGTGTGCCAATTCACACGTAATTCAAAACAAATTTCTAAACAAACATTTTGTCGTTGTTGTTGTTGTTGTCGAAGATGATGATGATGATGATGATGATGATAATAATGAATTCGATATTAATTTATTTGTTGGAGAAAAAAAAAGTCGCGATTCGTGCGATTTCTCATCGCAATCTTCGTACGATTTCCAATAATGGAAAAAACATCGTCGTGGCGTAAGAATTCAAAAAAATAAGAAAATAATTCGAGGAGAGGGGAGAAGGGGGGGGCAGATAAAAGAGTGGGATGGTAGATTTTTAATTTTTTCTCTCTTTTACTTACTACGCCACTGTAAAAATTTCCGATGTCAATAATGATGAGAGTTTTTGTTCCAAGAAGAAGTAGAATCTTCCTCTTTACCTTGATTCATTTCCTTTGAGGTCGTCAAATATCAAAGTCAAATATTGAGTAATGATAATAATAATAGTGATTTAGAAATCCACATTTTTTTATTATTATTATTATTATTATTCTCGAATCGCATCCATCCCGAGTATCGATTAATCGATCAAACGTGTTCACGAGTGAAGCAATTTTATTTCATACGAAGACGTAATAATTAATAATAATTGAATTCAACGTCGTCGTTGGCATTTTTTTCTTTTTTTTTTGTACGATAAGACGTGACGTTTGATAACGCACTCACGCACTCACACGACGTGTATAATTCGATTTCATAAGTTGGCAGTAACATTTTTATTTTAGTTAATTAATTATTATTATTATTATTATAATGGCATCGATGAAAATCTATAATAAAAACTAACATTTTTCTTATCCTTAACCTTTTTTTTTAACCTGACAATTTGATTTTTCGTGAGTGAGGTGGTTGAGGCGGTTGCGGCGGGGTTGGTGGTGGCCGTGGTAGTGATGGTGGTGGTGTCGGTTATTAATAAAATTTCGAAAGAAAAAAATGTACCGAAGACGATACAAAAATTGTATTTTTCTCATCATTTCTCCTCTACACACTTATCTCCAGGAAAAATTCTATGAAAATGAGGGGAGTGGGACAAGGAAAATAGTGGATTCATTTCCGGGGGGCGGTGAAAAAGAAAAAAGAGGTCAGATATTAATAATTCTGGAAGCTAATTCCCAAAAAAAAAAACCTTGAATGGTGAGACGAGGTAGATGATATTTGAACCTGGAAGAAGAAACTTTAAAAACTTAAATCCGAAAACAAATCATCACGACTGGAATTACTGGAAATTTTTCTTATTTCTCCAGGCGCCGCAGCAAACCTTTTCCTTACCTCTCTCTCTCTCTCTCTCTTTGATTTCTATTACGTCCAGTAAGTTTTTGAGAGAAATAAATGGAGAAATGTAAAACATACCCGAACCGACAAACGGGGGGATACGTGAAAGCGGCGGGGGGGCGAATGCGTGTGCGTACGTGTGCGAAAGAGAGAGAGAGCCCATGACATTTAACAAAATTTCATACGAGTTCATAATGATGATGATGATGATGATAATGAGTTATTTTATTGCATTTAAATCACTTTTCAGGTTTTTTAATTTATTTACTAGGCATTTAAATATTAAAAAATAAAAAAGAAAGAAATCATTATTATTATTAATATTTAAGTTATGCGAAGTGAAAATTTCATGGTTGATAATGACTAACAATTTGTTGTGTGTGTGTGTGTGTGTGTCGTTAATAATAATAATAACTCATTGAATTTTAATAATAATAAATTTTTTGACACCGAAAATTTTTTTTTTTTTACAAAAAATTTCACAATCACGAATAATGAGAAATGATTTTTTAAAAAAAAAAAAAAAGTCGCGCGTTTTTCGTGACAGTTTATTAAAAATTTTCTCCAAGGTTTTATTTAAAGAAAAAGAAAAAAAAAAGATGGCCGACGGTTGCGTTGGTGCCTCCTGCTTGATTCCAAGCCTTGAAAATAACCGCCTTAATAATATTTTTCTTTACCTCCGCGTAACCGCCAAATTTGCAAAGAAAAAAAAAAAATCTCATGCGTGGTTTTGGCACCTCGAGTCATACGTGAATCCATGACGAGCATATAATTAAATAAAACTACTTTTTTTTTTTTTTTGGTGGTACGAAGAAGAAGAAGGAGGTATTGAAATGTTGGTATTATTGCAGATAGTCATATCCGTGATCGCCGCGAGATTAATCCATGGATATACGATAAATTTAAAAGAATCTGAAGATAAGTCATCGACCTTTCAACGTTTTGAAAATTCAAATTTTCCTATACAAACCTTTGTAAGAACTGTTAAAAATGTCAACGAGGGACCGATAGCAGGTTATCCGAAAGTACCACCACCGAACGCTTACGAATCCGGTGGTTTGGCTGATGATTTGCTTCCGCCTCTGGGCAACGAAGGTTCCCAATTCAATAGAAGATTGATTTTTAAAAGAAGCATAGATCAATTTGTATTACCTTTGAAGACTGATTACACGATTCGAAACGAACCGTTGGTTAAAATTACACCGGATGATAAAATAACCGTTCAAACGACGTTTGCACCGACCGTTGACACCGTGGTACAAAAACTCGTCGATCCTAAAACTGGTTACCCGTTAAAAGCACAACCGGATTGGGCTTACGCTGGTGGAAACGAAGAGATTTTGGATTTACCGATTGAAGATGATCGAAGGGAAGATGAAAAAAGAGCCGTCGATCCGAAGACGGGATATCCGTTGGTTGCCGAACCCGGTTGGGCGCATGCAGGAGGAAACGAAGACATTATTGATTTGCCACTCGAACAGTTACAACAGACAAACGAACAAAACGAAGCGGTAGATCCTAAAACTGGATACCCGTTGAAAGCGCAACCCGGTTGGGCATATGCTGGAGGAAACGAAGAAATTATCGATTTGCCCCTCGAACAGTTACAACAGACAAACGAACAAAACGAAGCAGTAGATCCTAAAACTGGATACCCGTTGAAAGCACAGCCCGGTTGGGCATATGCCGGAGGAAACGAAGAAAGTTTAGATCTTCCATTGGAGGATGCTCAACAATCTAATGAAAAAGAACCTGTCGATCCTAAAACTGGATACCCGTTGAAAGCACAACCCGGTTGGGCATATGCCGGAGGAAACGAAGAAAGTTTAGATCTTCCATTGGAGGATGCTCAACAATCGAATGAAAAAGAACCTGTCGATCCTAAAACTGGATACCCGTTGAAAGCACAACCCGGTTGGGCAGATGCCGGAGGAAACGAAGAAATAATTTCATTACCCTTAGATGACGTCGTTTTAAATGAAAATAATAATAATAATAATAAAGTCGATCCGAAAACGGGATATCCATTGGTTGCACAAGAAAACTGGAAAGATGCCGGTGGTAATGGTAATATATTGGATTTACCTATTGAAGATTCATCATCTATTCTCTTGGGTATAAACACAAGGCAATCAACCGATGAAATAACAAGACGTGGTACGACGATTCAACCTTTTGGACAAGTTCTCGGTGAACTCAAACAACAACAACAACCCAAAGTCGATCCGAAAACTGGTTACCCACTCGTGGCACAACCCGAATGGTTTGACGCCGGTGGAAACGGTGATATATTAGATCTTCCTTTAAATTCATCCGAGGAAAAAGGAAAAGTCGATCCGAAAACCGGATACCCGTTGAAAGCAGAATCGAGTTGGGCATTTTCCGGCGGTGACGAATCAAATATAGATTTACCATTCGAAGACACTGGAAACAATTCTGATGGAAATGTCATCATCGAAGAACAACAACTTATAGAACTTAAACCTCCATCAATCGGTGGTGATTATTCTACTGAATTTACAGACAACCTTCCGACATCTTTCGGTTCGACGGGTGATTCTTCCACACAATTTACAAAAAACCCACCTTTCGGCCTTCAACCGTTTCATCAAGTACCAACAACCCAATCCTCGCTCCTCAATGGATCATCCAATTTCAACGGTGAGTATTAATTAATTTTCTTCTCGGTAAAAAAGGTTAAAATAGTTCAATGTCAACACATTTTAAAGTTTTTTTTTTTTTTCAGGTTCGAGTAAACCTGTTATCACTCGATTCCCTTCGAACGGAAACAACAATTTTCAAAATAATTTTTTCAATCAAAGGAAAACAAACGAATTAGAATTAAATGGAGGAATTGGTGGTATTCAAAGGAGTCATGATTTTTCAAAAATATCACCGAGAAATTCGGGAATTTTTATTTATCACAACAATCCGACATCAACAACCACAACAACAGGTGATTTATTTAAAATTTAAAAAAAAAAACTATTTTAAATTCACGCGGAATAAATTTTAAAATATTAACGTGAATATTTGTCTTAGTCACGATTTTTTAGTAACAATTATGGAAAATCTCTTATCTCTTATCATCGAAATTATCTTTTGTTTGTTTGTTTTAGGTGCATCAGGTTTTGTAAGACCTCAAAATTCCCTGGCCACTTCTTATCACATCACAAATTTTTTCCGGCAAATTTGAATCTATGCAAAAAAAAAAAAAAACAATAACAATAACAAATAAAAAAACGTAAGAAGCGCCATCATCGGTAAAATTTTAAAACACTTGTTGCCATTTAGTTTTATTTATATTCCTCAGAGTTCAACACTACCTAGCGATATATTACTACGTAATGATAAAACAGTTGTTACGACATTTATTTTCATTACTCGTTTTTTTTTAAACGCGATATATGCATAAGTTTAAATAAGTGATAACGAATAATTTTTTTTTTTATCGATAAGAACGAAATCGTTATTTGATTATTATTATTATTATTATTTTTTAAAAAAAACATGAGGATTCGTTACGTAAAACATTAGAACAACCCACGAAAAGTAATAAATTAAAAATTTAGATATATTGAACGTTATTATTTCAATCGATTAACGTTTATATTGATTTATCGATTGGTTATTTTAAAAAAAAAAAAAAACAATGAAGTAATAATTAATTAATTTACGTTATTATTAATGTTAACAACAATACTTATTCATCTGTTAACTTTATTACCATTATTATTATTATTATTATTATTATTATTATTATTATTATTAATAATAATAATAATTTTTTTATTATATTCTTATTACGTAATAAAATTTTGTCATCGTCGTGTTATGTACATTACATACTCGTTAATAACAAGAAATAAAATTTTTTTTTATTAAAAAAAAAAATCGTTTACGGATTACATTATTATTTAAATCTCTCGTCTTTTATCCGCACACACTCCTCTTCTCCCTCACCCCCACTTAATAATTTTCAAAAACGATCTGCCAACATAACAAAAAAAAAAAAAAAAAATTTGTGTCGGTTCATCTTAAGTCGTCGTCGTCGTCGACGTCTTCGAATAGTCAGGAAGAAATTCGAACGTAAAAAAAAAAATTATTAATAATAATAATATTATTAATAACTCTATGTATTATGTAATTTAAAAAAATAATAATAATAATAATTACAAATAATTTAAATCAGTACCGTAATCAGTAATATTTTTTTTCTTCTATTTTTTCTTATCGATAAAGAAAATTTTTTTTTTTTAATAATATCAATGACGTGGGTAATTATCCGTTTATAATTATTATTATTATTATTATTATTATTAATAAAAGGGAGGGAAAAAAAGTTATTACGTCACCACGATGATAATGATGATAATGATGATGATTAAAAATTTTTTAATCACGATATAAAATTAAATAATTTAAAAATTTAAAGTTTAAAAACCGTTAAAAAAATTAGTTTTTTATTATTTCTTATTAAATTTAATATTTGATCAATCGGATCGATTATTATCGATCGATCGATCGGTCGATCGAACGATTCATCGATTGGCCCGAGAATTCAAATACTTACATAAATATTTCAAGTTTTTTTTTTTTTTTGGTTTGATTTCGGAATTTTTCTAAATGAAAAAAAATTTTCGCCCTTTATGATAACCTTTATCATCATCATCATCATCATCATTAAAATATTTCGATCTTTCCGGAATATTATTATTATTAATAAATTCTTTAAATTTAAAAAAAAAAACCCCGCCATGTTAAAAATGTTAAAGAAAGGTAAAAAAAATCATAACATTATAATAATAACTCATTCGAAAAAAAATCCTACACATTCTAGAAAAAGAATTCATGTTTTGAAAAAGGTCAAATTTTTTAAAGAAAGGCGTAAAAATTTTGGGTGGAAAGGTAAAAAATGAAAATTAACACGAAGAAGAAGAAGATGAACAAGCAGAAGAACAAGAAGAAGAAGAATTTTAACGGTTAAGAGAATGGTTGTATGGGTTTGGCATATGAAAATATCATTCAAGGTTATTTTTTAATTCGCTCGTATATACGCGATCGCGGATAATTTTCAAATGTTAATTATTAAATATATAACGTACCTGATTTATATACCTGATTTTTCGGTTAAAGCAATCACGAAAATTGTTATCACGTGACGTTATTTTCTCTATTTAACATAAATTTAAATTTTCTTTTTTAAATCCGAATTGCAATACACTTGAATTTCTAACTTATTATTATTATTATCATTATTATTTTTATTTATTACACAAACGTTTGTCCTTTATCATAACTTTAAACTTTATTTGATAACGTCACTGATAACAATTATATTTAAATGTAAAAAAAACAAAAAAAAAAATTTTTTTTTTTTAATATTTAAATTGTCGAGTTTGTTTATTTTATTTTTATTTTTTTTTTCTCACCGCGGTAAAATTATTTAATTTTTAGATTATGTTAGAAGTTGAATAGAGGTCACGGTTGCCAACTTAAAAAAAAAAAAATTAATAAAAAAAAAAAGAACCGAATGACAAAAAAAAAAAAATTGCAAAAATTTTTTACGATAAATAATTTTTTTTCGTTTTCCTTTTTTTTTTAAATTTGGCGCCAAAAAATTCAAAACTGCCAACTTAATTTTTTTTTTTTTTAATGCAAAAAAAAAGAAAGATTTAGGTCAAAGTATATAATTTTTAATTTTATCGAACATACACATGCACGAATTCAATTGTTATATATTTCATAATCGTGTAAATAGATTTCGCATTTTTCTTTCTCTCTCTCCCCCCCTCACTCTCTCTCTTTCTCTCTCTTTCCAATTTATCCAGAAATTATTATTGATTATCGATATCGAATAATGATTCTAATTTTTTTTGATATTTGGTTTAAATTTTTTTTTTTTTTTTTTTATTAGCGAAGGGCAAAACTTTTAAAAAAATAATAATAATTTTCTTTATTCTACCCACGACGCAAATTCGTTTGTTGTTGTGGTTGTTGTTGACTAATATTCTAGAATTTCAATCGGTACCACATAATTTATAAAATTTTGATAGATGAGTTAAAAATGGCGGCGACGGTTAAGAATAAAAAGTAGGAGGATGAATTGTTTACGGTAACTCCCATAAATAATTTTTTTTTTTTTTCAATTTTTAAATGTCATCATATCAAATACCTGAAATTTTTCTTTTTAAAAAGGAAAGTTTAAAAAAAAATTACGCGGATGTACATCCATTTTCATGCAAACGATTTGTTGTGCATCGACAAACAACAACCAAACCCGAGTGGCAAAAAAAAAAAAAAACGAAGCAGAAAATTATGTCATTACACACACGCCTTTCAAAAAAAACTTTCTTATACACGTCTCGCCATTTTTTTTTTTTTATAAAAAAAAGTTTTATTTGGATCATACCGTGATGCCACCCAAAGCTAGATAACCAGTTCACGATTTGCTAATGCCACGAAACTTGTTATTTTTGTTTTGAATGTAGTTCTTTCTTTCTTCTTCAAATATTCATCACGAGTTCAATGGAGGTGAGTATGCCGATAGGAAGATGACCGTAATAAAAATGTTGTTGTTGTTGATGGTGGCGGTGGCGGTGGTGGTGGTGGTGTTGGGTAGAATACGGGAGTGGGCAGGTGGTGTCGAAATCCCCCCAAAAAAATAATAAAATGAATAAATAAACGACGACCTTGGATTTATTTTCTGCACAATTTTTGCATTTTTAAATAAATCTTCTTCAAACTTTTTTTTTTTCTTTTTTTTCTTACTTACTTAAAATATTAGGTAATAAATTAATTTTTTTTATTATTTTAACGCATTTGAATTTCCTTATTTGTGAAATACAAGAATAAATTATTTATTACATATAAGAAAGAGAGAGAGGAGGAGGGGAGAGAGAAAAAAAATCAACTAAATTCCTCCTCCATTTTGATCTTGACGTTTAAATTTATTCTAAAGGCTATAAAACGTTAACAAAAAAAAAAAAATTTAAACAATTTAATTTAACAAAAAAAAAACGATTTTTCATTACACATTTAAAAAGCAAAAATTTGCCATCGTCAAATTTATTTAAAAAGTTCTAGCAAAAAATGAACGAGAGCAAATTAAAAAAAAAAAAAGTAAAATTTCAAATTTTTACGTGGGTTTTTTTTTTTTGTAATTTCGCTTTCAATTTAAATAATTTACCTCTTTTTTTTTTTAAGTTGGTTGCACTTCCTGTTTATTTAAATTTCGATTCGATATCTCGAAACATATAAATTACATACTCATTTTCGAATTTTAATTAAGTTAACGAGAAGATGCAAAAAAGAGAGAGAGAGAAAAAAATTATAATATTACGTGAATTTCACACCCGATTTAAAAACGCAAAAAAAACTTTTTTTTCTCGTTATTATTATTATCATCATCATTATTATTATTATTAATTGTATATCCAGGTAGAGGAATGTACAAACGAAAGGAAAATTTAATCGTGATTGTTTGTTTTTTTTTTATAACAATCGACGATATAATAAAATTTCCCAACGAGGAGAAAATTCATCGTCTTTAAAGGGTTTTTACATAATTTTTCTGGAATTTTTTCTCCAGAACGAATCGAATTAATTTTTTTTTGGGAGGAGAGGGGAGGGGGAGAATATGATGATGATGATGATCATTACGAATAAATTTGGAAACGATTAAATAAACTCGATGAAAACGATGACGGTGACCTTAAATTAAAAAACAAAAAAAATTTTCCAACTGGAATAAATTTCACAAAAAAAAAAAAAATGACGTCATTCGTTAAAAGAAAAAATAACGATATGATAATAATAATAATAATAATAATAATAATAATAATAATAATAATAATAATAATGGCGTTGAGTAAATTATTTCATTGTATTATCCACGTTTTTTTTTTTTTTTTAATATAAAATTACGAGTTATGATAATAATAATAGAAAAGGTTGTAAAGACAAACGTCACGCGTATATACGTCTTGTGCCACTTTTAAATTTTTTATTATTTTTCACGTAAATGAATTCCGCCCATTTTTTTCAAAACGTTACGAAAAAAAAAATGATAATAATGTAAATTTTACACGTTCGTTATCACTAACCCTGTTATCAATTAAATTTTTCAAAGAAAAAAAAATCTGGATAAAAAAAAACCTGGATGCCATAAAAAAAACAAAATAATCATCGTGAATTTAGAAATTATGCTCGAGGTGTTAAACCTCAAAGTTTTTCTCAAAGGAATTTTTTTTTTTTTTTTTTTAAGGTCTTAGGTAAAATAATCTTTGAACTTTTGACCTTTTTAACCACTAATCAATTTTTTTTTAACTGTCGTCTTTTTCCAGATGTTTCGTTATTAAATATATAAAAAATCATAACTAGTTTTATGAAAATATTTTCAAATAAAAAAAAATCGTGACCCTAGATAAAAAATAACGGGGGGAGAGGGGAGGGGGTAGGCAGGTCACCAATACTTAAAACGAAATTTTATTTATTGATGGATACACACACACACACATTTATTTATTTTAAAATAAAACACCGCCTTCTTTTAATAAAGTGAATTTTTTTTTTAAAAAATCGTGGTTTGAAAAATTGCGCGCGCGCGCCAAAAATTCAAAAGAATTAGGTCACACATTATTCGTTAATTATTAGGCCGAGTTTCCATAAAAGTCAGAATGAATTTGAAGCACGTTGACGCCATTTTTTTTTTTTTTTTTTTTTTTTATAAAATTCATACAAAAATAACAAAAAGGGAAATCAAAATTATTTTATTTTTTTTTTATACTTTTATAAAAGTATAATATTATAAATCAACCCTTTCCGGTTGGGGGTAGAAATTTTTTTTTTTATAATAAATTTTTAAATAATTCGTTTGTTTAACAAAAAAAAAGAAAATTTTTTTTTTTTAAAACTTGGACGAATTTTAAAAGATTTAAATTTATTTCCCGGGAATTGTAAATACTTATTATTATTATTATTATTATTTATAAATAAACAAATTTTGTTTCAGAAAAATCATTTTTTTTTGTTTTTTTTTTTTTTTTTTTTTTTAATAAAAGGAAATGAATTTAAATAATAAAAAAATTTTTGTTTTTTTTTTTTTTTAAATTAAAACAAATTAATAAATTTAATAATAATTTTCACTTTAAATCATTATTACCTCCTGGAAGAAATTTAAAAAAAAAAAAAACGAGTCGGCAATGAACTTTAATAATAATAATAATTATTATTATAATAATAATAATAATGATAATTTCTGGAATTTTTTTAAAATCGAATAAAAAAAAAAACGTGGAAATAAATTTATCAAAAAAATTTTTTTTAAAATAAATTTTATACGATTTTGTCGTTTTTTGTAAAAAAAAAAATTCCAAAATCATTATTATTATTATTATTATTGTTATTATTACTCGACATAAAAATTATATCGTCTGCTCTTGGATTTAACCTAAAAAAAAAAAAAAAAAAAAATTCAACTCCCATCCTCCCACTATTTTCCCTTCCCGTTTTCTTCTACCACCATTTTCGGTAACCGGTTTTTCTTTTTTTTTTTCTTTTCCCTTTCGATTCGCGAACGAGTGAATGAATTTTCGAGAGAGAAGAAAAAGTGTTAGTTATACCCTTTTAAAACTAAGATCAAATAACAAAATATATAATAATAATAAATTTGATTTCGTTGAACGGGAGTAGGGTAGGGTAGGGTAGGGTAAATAGAAGACGGAGTGTAACAACTCATCATCTATACCTATTATAGAGCTATATATACGTATATAAAATTATAGTCATCGTTTTATTCATTTCAAATTTCATTTTTTAACAGGTGTCCGAACGAATAATATCAAATTTAAAAAAATTAAAATGAAAAAAATTCAGGTGAGCCATCTTTTTTTATTTTTATTTCTTATTTTTTATTCTTATTTATTAACGACAATATTATAATAATAATAATTTACATGGAATGATGACACGTTACGAAACATTAAATCGAATTAATTATTATTATTATTAATAATTTATTTTTTACATTTTTTTTTTCTTTTTTTTATTATGTAATTGTAAAAAGAAAATTTTTTTATTTTATTTGCAAAGAAATTTATAAATAAACGAAACGTTTTTTTTTTTTTTTTTAAATAATTTTACCGGTTGTTAATTTTATTATTATTAATATTATTATTATTAATATTATTATTATTATTATTATTATTATTATTATTATTAATATTATTAATATTATTAA